CATGTGCTCACTGGAGAGAGAAAAAGAGACAGAGAGAGAAAAGGTGATAAATCAACCCCCCCGGGGCGGATGTCCATTTCTCAATCTCTTCTCCTCCATTCTCCTCTCAAAATTTGGGGTACAGACACACATGCATCCAACATGGTGGATTGATTTCAAGCCACCAGGTCTGGGACTTGAACCATGGCCAACTATGTGGTAATCCAGTACCTTAACCATCATGTCACCTGCTGGCCTCCATGTACATTTTTTGGAATATGCATCAAATGATTTATTTTGAATTTATTGTAGATAATATTGTGTGAGAAATATGTAAGCAAAATACCTCTCTCCATATAGGTTAAAATGTCCAGAAACCTGTGGTGGGATCCAATGTATGAATATGTCTCAAAAAACATGAAGTAGTAGAGAATGGAAGAGGAACCTGGAGAGTTGTGTTCGTGCGAGGGGGAATAAATGGACTTAGGGGGAAATGAAGATGAGGATGTGAGTGCAATATATAATGCTAAAACGATCACATCTCCAGAAAGATGTAGCAAACTCACTGTGAATGTGCCTAACAACATTTTATCAAAACATCTGAGGCAAAAGCTCCTAGAATGACAACAGGAAATTGATGAAGCCACTTCACATATGAGTGAGATCAAGAAGAATATGTCTTCTATGAATGGTTTATTTCACTTAACATAATGTCGTCCACATTAATCTATGTTGTCACAAATAATAGAACTTAATTCTTCTTCTGGATGAATAGTAAGTATTCCATTGTGCAAATATATAACCTTTTTTTTATCCATTAATATGTTGATGAAGACTTAGGATGATTCCATATATGTGATATTAAGCATGGGTGTGCAGATATCTCTTCAAGGTTGTGATTTTATTAATATTTTCCTTGGATAAATACCCAGTAGTGGTATGGTGGGATCATACAGTAGTTGGTTTTAAATTTTTGTGGAATCTCCATACTTTTTTCCATAATGGCTATACTAATTTATATTCTTATTATACTATGATTTTTTTTTTTAGTTTTATTTTTCTATAGGACACATGTATTACCAGACACAGAGAGAGAGAGAGAAAGTGAAAAGTCATCCTCCCAGGTGGGATGGCCAAACTGCAATTTCTTATCCTCCATTTTCCTCTTGGTACTTTGGGCACATCTGCACACATGCCCATATAATTTTCAAGCCACCAAGTCTGGGCCTTGAACCATGCAGTTGGCTATGTGGAATCTAGAACCTGAACCTCGATGCCACCTGATAACCCACATTCTGCTCTAATTTTTATCATGCCTTTTTTCTACTTACAGAAATAATTTGATTACTTAATTTTAAATTTTATCTTATTTTTCTAGTTTCTTAAGGCAGAAGCTTAAATAATTAATTTAGAATCTTTTTTTCTTTTCTAATATAAGTACTCAAAGCTAAAAATTTCCCTCTAAGCACTTTTTTCACTACATCCATAAATTTTTATTTATTTACTTTGGAGAGGTTTTTGCTATAGGTCTCCTCCATTCTCCTCTTGAGATCTTGGGCATGCATGCACATGCGCCTGGCATGAGTTTAAGCCACCGGGCCTGGGACTCAAATGATGGTCGACTACATGAGAATCCAGTGACATAGCCATTATGCCAACTGCTGCTCCCACATGCATAAATGTTGATAAAGTACATGTTAATTTTTATTTAGTCCAAAATATTTTAAAATTTCTCTTGAGTTTCCTTTTTTAAACCATGTGTTCATTAGAAATACGTGGCTTAATGTCCATGCGTCCTTCAGGTTTATGTTCATCCTACAGATACCAGCAATGACACACAGAGCAGCTTGCTGGTGTGACTATTATGCGTGTCTAATATTTGAAAGAACCAGGTTTTCACCCAGACCTTTTCAAAACAAAAAACAATCTCAACTTGCTGCTTTGATAGATGAGTTCTGGGGACCAGAGCAGGAGGATGAGCAGTACTTGGGGGAGAAATAGAAAGAAACCACTCCTAAAGCATCTGGGTCTTAAACAATTTGAGCCAGGAGGACAAGGATAACATTAACTGAGTCTGAGCCACACACTGTGGCTATTCATGCAAATGATGTGTTTGACCTTCCACAGCTTGTGAAGTGGGTATATCCATATCCCATTTGCACAGTCAAGGACTCCAAGGTAGAGCCCTTGTTGGATCTGGGCAGTAAATTGGGCTCACTTAGGGTATGGAGCACCTAAGGCCAGCATTTATGCTGACTTGGACATGATCATGCCCTGACACTTCAATCCACAACTGAGGAATGTCTCTGAGACTTTGTCTTGCAGCTTTGAGAGCCCACTTGGTGCTGAGGGAGGTGAAGGTACCCACCTCCCTACAAGGTTTCTTCTATGACCAGAGCAGAGCAACAAAGAGGTTTTTGTCTCACTTCCCCATACCTTTAGAGCACTGTGTGAGCTTTAGTGCTACCATGATATGTTCTACAATAGTAGTTGGCCTGATCCTCAGGCTGCAGCCCAGAGATGTGCAGAATACCTGTATTCGCTGATGCATCATTGGTTCTAGAGAATCGACTGGGGAACCCAGAACCCTGGTGTTTATCTGAATCCGAGTGGAATGGAAGAAGATACCTGGGAGGGTTCCCTGGCTTCTGCTGGTACCAACTGATCCAGAATTTACCCACACTGAAGCCACTACCCAGGGTGCAGGTGAGTCTGGCAGATGTTCCAAGAAATGCAAAGAGGGAGGGCAGCTGAATCAGCACAGGCAGGGAGCGGGAACCTGTAGACACAAACACATATGTATGGCAGAGCAGGGACTAGGATGACAATTTACAGCAGCCTTGACCTGAAGACCCCAAAGCACATTGGGAGTCATCCTGTGTCCACAAACCCTGTCCCTACCTGTGCAATAACAAAGGAACACGAGGAGAAGAGCAGTCCAGGCCATGGTGAACACAGCCCCTGGTCCCCACATGGGCTGGGCTGCTCTAGGCCTCCTTTTCTTCCCCCTTCTGTGAAAAGAGCACCTCTTTTTGCAAATGTGTGTCCATTCAGTGACTGCTCAGCTCCTCTATGAACTCTGGGCTGGGGCTCAGCTCACACTGCAGATTGAGGAGGGGGAGGTTGGCTCCACCTCTTAGGCAGTCCTGGGAGGAAGCACTTTCTAAGACAGCATAGAGGACCTTCATCAGAGGACTCTAAGCCAGAGAGAACACAACTCCTGGGTCCTAATCAGAGAGCACAAAGCCAGTCCCAGGCACTGGCTCCCTTGATTGGTGCTTAGTAATTATAGGACAGTCCTGCAGTGCCTTCTACTGGTTCCTGTCACACACTTCCCCAAGGCTCAGAGCCCTCAAAAAAGCAGCTGGTCTCCGTAGTTCACCAGTCATCCACTGTCTCTATTCACTCATACTTTATCTTGTTCCCTGATAGTCAAATTGCAGTATAGCCAGTATGAAGTTTTTTCTCTCAGAATATATCTGTGGGAGCTGCAAATTTGTATATAGAGGATAATATAAATTGCCAGTGACCCCAGAAAACATGCTAACAGAACCTGATATCATCGTTTGTGTGTGCTTAGTATGCTGTGATATATGTTTTAATCTCCAACTCGGAGAGACATATGTGTCATTCTTGAATAGTATCAGGTGCTCAGGATGAGTGGAGATAAATGAAGAGTTTGTGACAGTTGAACTCAAGATTGCCTTTCATTAGAATCAGAGAAAAATGTGATTCACAAGAGAACCTGAGGGTCTTTTTCTCATGACCATTTTATTTGAAATTTGCCTGGTTAATGAGAACTTAGTCCTCCTTCTGATTAGGGGGTTATAAGCAAGGTTGTGAAACCCTTTAGGACACACAGAAAATCTAATATATGAACTACAGGGAAAACTGAATCTTAAGTTTTAATGTCAACTAAGCAGTTTTCCATATGTCACTTTGTATGATTCATAGACTTTTCTTAATCATTATTTATTTAACTTTATTTGTCATTATTATTATTCAATTTGACTAGAGAAAGGAAGGGAAAGTGAGAAAGGAAGCTGCCAGGTCCAGGACTCAAACTGCAGAGGGCCATGTGAGAGTCCAGCATCCCAACCACCATGACATCTGCCAGCCCTGATTTATAGATTTTTGCTCATTTGAACAATAATAATGGAATCACACAGAAGGGACTAGTGGTAAACTCTAGGGTTTGAATGTGTTCTGTAAAGTGCACATGTTGGAAACTGGATCTCCAGTGCAACAGTGTTGGAGATGGGGTCTAATAAGAGTGGTTGTTCTTTTCACATAGTTACTTTTCCCCCCCTTGTGATGTGAACAAATAGGATCTATTCTCTTAGAAAATTTCAAGTATACAATACAGTGTTATTAATTGTGGTCCCATGATGTACATTGGACTTCCAGAATGTATTCAGTCTACGTCATTGAAACTTTGTTCCCTTGGGCCAATCACTCTCCATTTCCTGTATTCTATCCCCCTTTGTAACAAACTTTTTACTTTTTCTTTTATTAACTGGACATTTTAAAATTGCACATGTAAATGAAATGTGCAGTTAGATTTTTTTCTGTACCTGAGTTATTTCACTTAATATAATATCCTGTGGGTTGTAACAAATGGAGAGATTTCATTCTTTTTTAAGGCTGAACTGAATATATTCTGTGTTGTGTATGTGTGTATGACAAGTGTCATATATATTAATAACCTATTGTTTCCATATGTTGATGACAGTGAACAATGCTTTAATAAATGTGGAAGTGCAGATATTTTTTTAAAACTACATAAAAGACAGGTTTTTTTTAATCTGCAGTGGGTGAATGACAGCCAGATGGGCTGTGACTCATGTGACCTTGGCCCCCTATAGGTCCTGGTCCCCTTGCCCTTCTGCTTTCTACCATAGGATGATTCACAGGTAGACCCTCCTTGATGCTGGTCCATGCTCTAGACTTTCCAATCTCCAGAACCTGAGCCAAGGAAATTCTCCATCATCTTAAATTACCAACTTGTTTTATTCTGTTCTAGTCACACAAAACAGACTAAGACTGTAATACACTGCTCTGTCTTAGCACAAACCAATATATGGATTTTCTGTAACCCCCAGCATTCTTTGAATGGTAAGTGAGACACCCTACATCTTGTCTTGCAGATAGTGGATCCTGAAGTTTACACCTGGCAATCTGCAGGGCGTCTCTGTGTCATCTTCACCATCCTCATTCCATCCTGGTAGAACTTCCCAGGTCTGGGCCCATGACAGTCATTCAATGCAAGAAGTCATATCTTATTCTAAATGTCCACATTTACTTTAACTGCAGAGGAAAAGAGAGAGCTAGAGAGACTAGGGAATAGTTAACTTTATCCTAAGAGAAGTCTGGCTTTTGTCCTGGCTCTAGGAAATTAACTATAAATCCGTGGAATTTCCCCTGTGGCAACACTTCAATCTATGCTAGTAAGGTGATTCCTGGTGGGCAACTAGATTGGTTCAAGAAGGGGATGGTCCTGCCAGTTAGACCAGCTCATTGACTAAAGGGTTGGGGACTTGATCCACTGCAATTAATCCACTCTCTTGACCTTTAAGGGATTGAGGAAAGCTGGAAATTATTTCAATGATTTCTGTGTAACAAAACCCCAGTAAATATTCTTCACACTGGTAATATTTTGACTGTGGTAAAATATGACATAAAATTTGCCATTTTAATCACTTTTAAAGGCCCACCTTTTATTCACTTTGACATATAAAATTAAATGTTAAGTACATTTACAATGTGGTACAACCATTACCATTATCAATGTCCACAATATTTTCACCATTCCACACAGAAACTACCATTTAAGAAAATCTTTCTCCTCCTGGTGAAAAGTCTCCTAATAACCAGTAGAGAATGGACGAAAGTTCAACTGGATAGGGAGTTACTCCCAGGGCTCCAGGAACTCACCTCAAAACAGGATGTGCCAGAAAGAAGAGAGCAGCGCCCCTAATGGTTACTGAAAGATGCCGCTTGACCCACGAAGGCAGTTTCTCTGGCCTGAACTTCTCATCCCTGAGGCCCCATGTGGACATGGGCTGCCCACCACAGGACACTGCCCCATGTCAGTGTATCCAGCAGTTCACTGTTCCCTCCCACTGTGTGTCCGGAAAAGCACTGAGAGCTCCAGGCTCTTACTGGAAGAGTTGCCTCCTTGTTTCCTCATATCAGCTTTCTTCCATCACCTGGTTATAACCAGCTAGAGACCTGTCCAAGGTGCTGTTTTCAGTCTAATTTCTCCCTAACTCCTAACTCCTGGTGGTCAAGTAGAATGTTATCCAGTAAACAACTACTTAATAATATGTTGAAGAATGTTTAAAATTATGACAAAAATGGGACAGACCAATAAATTCAACAATGAATATGATTTTTATTCCTTTATTTCATATTTTTTTGGAATCAGAAATGAGTTTGAGATATGTGCCATTTATGTATGTATTTTAATAGCAGAGGTGTGTGGGAGAGGAGAGAGAGAGAGAGCGAGAAGTACGGAGAGAGAGAGAGAGAGAGAGAGAGGAGAGAGAAAGCAACCACAATAGGACATGGTAACACCACAATCTTTTACTCTCTGTTTTCCCACCCATGGAGATCTTTGACAAGCACATACGCACAGTCAAGATGTTTGATCACCAAAAATTATCTGTAATTATGCATATGTATGACTATGTATGTATTCAGGTATATTTGTGGAACTACTTATACACAGATGCCTAAGCTCTCTCTCAGTGGAGGATGGAAGAGCTCATATAGTCCTATGTGGACCTGGTTGTCAGGAGAGAATGTAGGAGGTTGGAATGCCCTCTGTGGTACCTTAAGAGAGGAGGAAGGGTGTGAGTAGCTATCCCTCTCTTTTCATTTGTTCCTGAAGGCCTTGGTGACCAATGAGTTAGGAGGGTAAATAGCAGAGACACAGACTGTGACAGCAATGAACATATTTGGGCTGCTGGTCCTCATTTTGGCATTGAGACCATCCTTCCTCAAATGCACTATATCCCCCAGTCTCCCCAGTCAAGTCCTTTCCTGTGACATTGTCCCTGATGGGTGACTGTCCATCTATGTCAGCCAGAGCTGGCCTGTCTCACTGGGGCCAATGGAATCTGCATTTGCAAAGTCAAGATCAGTGGATTTTAAAAGGAGACATTTTTTAGTATTTGTAAAAATATTGATAGAAATAAGAGAACTTCTCTAAGTACAATGTCAGTAAATTTATTTAACAGCAACAGAGTGAGAGGCCATCACCTGTGTTCTGTGAAGTTTTTGTTCCCCTTTCCCCACAGCCTGTGTTATTGTGATAAACATTACTATGAGCTATAGCACAGTAATAGTGGGCCTTGTCCTCAGGCTGCAACCCAGCAATGAGCAGAACACCTGCATTGGCCGAGGTGTCCTTGGATGCAGAGAAGCAGCTGGGGACTCCAGAGCCTTGGTGCTTATTCGACTCTGAGTAGTAGTTCAGGAGAAACTGGAGAGGGCTCCCAGGATTCTGCTGGTACAATTTTGTCCAGTAGTCACCAACATTAAAGCTACTGCTCAGCATGCAGGTAAGTCTGGCTGATGCTCCAGAAGATGTAGAGAGGGAG